TTTTTCCCATGAAGATGCTGGTGGGCCCAAACCACAAGCCTCTCAATTATCAGCAGACTCGGCATATAATCATTGTGCCACTGTGGTTCCTGAGTTGAGGCTATAAGAAAGAGAAACTAATAATTAATTCACCTTGGAATGTAAATAAAAGTAGGAATAACTTATCCTCCAAAAGACTATGCTAAGTAAAGTTTCCTCTTTGTTGTCACGGTATCTTTCAGCTCTCTACAAGAAGTCCTGTGAAATGTACAGGCACCAAGGGAGTACAGCGGGTTTTTTCCTCATTGACGTGGACGGCAGTGGACCCCTGGGCCCTCTCCAAGTGTACTGCAACATCACTGGTAAGGATATAGAAATCTGACTTCCCTCCAAGCTAGCTACTTGATAGTATTCAGGAAAAAGAATCCCATGGGGGAGGGAATGCCTGTTTGAATAAAACTTTAACAGATTAATTTCTGGAAGATTAATATGATTTAGAACATCAAGTACTAGGTTAATTTCATGTGGAAAAAAATCTGTTAAAGGTCTTCATAAGATTTCTCTGAGATAAGAATTGATTATCAGATGTTTTCCTGAGATTTCTCAAAATTATTTTTTCTCTTAAAAGTAAAGAACTAGAGGAAAAAATAAAACAAAATAAAAATCAGTGGAAAGTCCTGACTCCATGTAGCAAATTGGATGGCTACATGGTACCTTCGATTGGTACCTGGCACTGACCATTGATCTAGATGACACTTTGAACATCTGTTTTTCCTTCATACAGGACACTCAGTGTAATCCCTGGCTGATGTTCCTCTTGCGCTCAATTATCAGTAAAGACTTGTTTGCTGCTATGCTGCTTAACAAGTGTCAGCAAAACTTCCAGGCTAAGATGAAGTAAGAGTAAAGATTATCTGATTATCTACTTCTGAAAATTAGCCAATAAAAACTCTAAGCATCACAGCAGATGGACCTGAAACCAACCATGAGGCTGATGCAGGACAAGGCAGCAGTTTGTGCACAATGTGCACCAGGACCCCATGAATTGGAGTCTCAG